TTATCTGTATAAAATTTTTTATATCTTTATATTATTTTTATATTTCTTAATTTATATCTTAATGTAGCATCTATTATAATTAAAAGGTTTAATATTAATATGTTTTTAATATGTTTTAGTTTTTCTTTGATGATAATTTTTTTGAATTTATAGTATAAATTATTTTTTCAGTTGTATTATTTGTTTTTTTTTATTTTAATGTTATAATATTATTATAATTTTTTGTTTTAAATTTTTTAATTTTGTCGCATATAAACAAAATTTGTTATGAAAATTGACCTTTTCATTATTTTTTTTTTGAATTAGTCTTTTTGATTGATTCATCTTATACAAATTTTTAATCTAAAATTTATGTTATTTTAAATTTATTTTTTAAAATTTATTTGTTCACATAATTTGATGTACCAAAACCTTCAATTTTCATGGATACTATAGCAACTCCCTTAAATAAATATATCTGAACCGTTAATAAATGGGAAAAACTGAGAAAGGATTAATATTAAGATATCCACCCAACATATACCCGTTAAATACCTATTATAATAAATTTACAAATTTTATTTATTTAATATATAATATATGTTACGTGAAAATATGATATTATTTAAATTTACTTTATTATCTGTGGGGTTGAAAGCTTGGTAAATAAATTTGTGTATAATATTTAAATAATTTAAGTTTTAACTTTTAAATCAATATTTTCAAAAAAAAAACAATTATTAGAATAAATAAAAATTATTACTAAATATTTTTTTAATTGTTTATAATATTTTTAAAAAAAGTTAATAAATATCTACAGATAACATACATGCCGCAGATATTAAATTTTTTTTTTATGAGTAGTCGCCTAATGAGTATCTCTGACAAGATAAATAAAAAAAAGGCTAAAAATTTATTTTGGTCCCTTATAATAATTGTTTGTTTCAATTTAGTCTCACTTTTATTTTTTGTCTCAATTTGGTCCCTAATAAATTAATTGGTTGCAATGTAGGACTTCTGTCTAAATTATTTAAACAGAGTTAACTGTTGGCCACGTGGCATGCACGTGGATGTCACGTAAATGCATAGGTAGATGCCACGTGGATGCCAATTTTTTTAAACACCTGGAACCAGAACGGGTCATTCTAGTTTCAAAACGGGAAGTTCTAGTTTCAGAACGGGTCGTTCTGGTTTCAGAACGGGCCGTTCTGGTTCCTGACTGTTAAACACAAACGGTCAATGATTATAGTTCACGGTTGTGAATCGTGGAAGGAAAAAGACCCAAGGTACAAAGCATTTCAAACACTGGATTTAATAATATTGTTAATGGATATTGATAACTTCAATTGCTAAATAGTTGGGCTATACAATGTATCATTAAGGACAATGTAGTGTAAAGACAATGGTAACAGATTTTATTTCATTGTTAGCCAAGCTGGAGTGAACCACTTACTACCAAATTGACACTATACAGTAAAGGATGAAATGACATGGTATTTTTTCTTGAAGTCATTAAAGATGTACCCCAACAACAACAACATGTTCTCGAAGAGGTAGAACCTGAAGTAAAGGAAATTATATTTGTAGTACCAGATATGGTACTAACTTTGATTTCTAGCATCACTAAATTTGAAAAGAACTTATTATTCTTGAGAATTGTGTGAGTCGTTGCACTATCAACGAGACACATATCTTCAATATTGATGCTATGGACAATATCCATTCTTCATAAAATTAAAAAAAATTGTAAATAAACAATATGATAAAAGACAAGAAGACAATAATTTATGGAAAAACAATATTTAACGATAATTTGTATATTAAAAAAAATTCATAATCCAATAACATCAAAACATAAGAAATACCCAAAATCCAATAAATAAAATATGGAGAAAAAAAAATTTATTTCTGAACACTCCCATCACCAATAAGGTGATCAATTTTTCCATTTGGATCAACAAAGAAATCAACAACATCCAAGTGAGTAACATCCATATGACCATAATCTAAATCACTGTCTTCTTGAGCAAAATGTGTCTCTATCGTTTTCTTCTTATTAATTGATTCTTGGTAAAGTTCAACAAGATGCTTTGGTGTACGACAAGTACATGATTAGTGACCCTTGGCACCACAACGATAACATTTGTTTTCCTCGTGTTTGTTACCATGTCCATCCATTTCCTTCTTATTTTTCCCATTGTTTTTCCACTTCTGGTGTGAAAAATTGTTTTTTACCTCATAATCGTGACCACGACCGCCTTTACTACCACGACCACGACCATGACCACGGCCACGACCACGACCATGATTATTTCCACGGTTGTGACCATAGCCTTGACCACTAGTTTCTTTACCATGTGTTGCAACATTCACTTCTAGGAATGGAGCAGAGCCAATTGGTCGAGCCTCATGATTTTTTAATAAAAGCTCATTATTTTGCTCAGCCAGAAGGAGGCACGAAATTAATTCAGCATATTTCTTAAACCCTTTTTCTCGATATTGCTGCTGCAGGAGCACATTCGATGCATGAAAAGTGGAGAATGTTTTTTCTAACATATCTTCATCATTAATTTTTTCTCCACACAATTTCAATTTAGAAGTAATTCTAAATATTGCAGAATTATATTCACTTACATATTTAAAATCTTGTAACCGTAAATGCATCCAATCATAACGAGCTTTTGGGAGAATCACAGTTTTTTTGGTGATCATATCTTTCTTTTAAATTATTCCAAAGAACAAGTGGGTCTTTTATGGTAAGATATTCAGCTTTTAACCCTTCATGAAGGTGATGACGAAGAAAAATCATAGCTTTAGCCTTATCTTGGTTAGATGCTTTGTTTTCTTCTTTAATAGAGTCTCCAAGACCCATTGCATCTAAATGTATTTTAGCATCTAATATCCAAGATAAATAATTCTTTTTCCGGTAATGTCAAGAGCAACAAATTCGAGTTTCACAATATTTGACATGTTCAATACTATCATAAAAGAGAGACAAAATTAGGAAAAAAAATAATAATAATAAAGGAATCATAAATAGCCATAAATTTATAAATTAATACTGCTTTAATTATGGAAATCAAATTGTCTCTAATTTAATATATATTATCGCACAAAATAAATAGAATATATAGTATATATATATATATTGATATGACATAAAAAAAATTATTACAGAATATTTAAATTGATAACATGAGCAAAAAATATGTGTCATAATAATATTATTATTAGGCAGAATAAATATATTCATCATTCCATATATATTAGGAAAAATAAATGTATTCATCAATAAATATATGTATATTCATCAATAAAACATAGATTTTTCTCACTTCTGGTGAAAAAATAAATTAATAAAATAATAGAGTTTGAACATTCTTCTTTGATAATGTCTTCTAGACATTTCAAAAATGTATGAAGAATTTCTTTATTTCATAGTGTCTTCGGGACTACTATAATGTCTTCAGGACTACTTTGATTCATAATAATGTAAATAATATAAATATTTGATAAAGTTCTTATTATGAAAGATGAATAACTAACCTTAAAATATTTTTCTTGAAAAATATGACCTTCTATCTTGAAAAAATCTTCACAGCTTTCTCTTCTAATTGCAAGACCAATAGATAAAAGACTATCGTGCTGATAACGTGTTATAAAAGAGAGAAAAAGTAGAGAGAAGAAACAAGATAATAAGAGATGGAGAAAAGAATCTGAGTAGTGTATTATCTTAATTTGGGAGAGGAGTAACCTATTTATAAGTACATGTAGTAACTGAACAATTACACAATAAAATGAATAATACATAACAGAAATATAAATGGTAATGATTGATAATGAATATTGGCATCCACTAATTAAGCCACTAATTATTATTCGTAACACTATTATATATTTTAATAATTTTGTAATACTATTCATTATGTCAAATGTCGATATTATTAAATAGTTCACCAAACAGATTTATGAAATATTCAAGTCTTTACAAAAGTTATGAAAATCTAATACAACAAAGAATGTATAATACAGAAACGATATAAAAGTAAATTCTTTGATGAATTTAAAGAGAAAATTTTCTGATAGATAAATTTTAAAAAGAAAATTGATTATTTGTAAATAAAAAGTGATCTATAATGACAATAATTTATACTTTTTATTTTTTTAATATTTGTTTATAATGTTAAAAAGTTTCTTTTATGTAAAAAAAATATCTTAATTTAAACTAGTAAAATTGCAATTAATTATTAAATTGCATAATTTTATATATTTAAATATATATTTTTCATGTATCAATCTTGTATACTTTTAAAATAAATTGGATCAACCTATCAAATACACAAGGTATCATATAGAGGTATTGTACTATCCGTACCGCCATGCCGAGTTCGAGCTCGGCATCGCTGCGTGGAATGACCTCGAAACACGCATTTGGAGACCTCGGTCTAAACGAGATCCGCAATCCAACCAGATCATAACTGATCTCAGGAGATCTCGGTCCAGACGAGATCCGCTATCTAATTAGATCATAACTGATCTCAGGCCCAAGGCCCAACGCAACCCTAATTCACACTAAGGTACGTGCATTATTTATACGAGACCCATACTCATACAAATCCTAACTTTAGCATCGGAGTCTCTTTTGCAGGTACCACCCCCATCTTGGAACACCAACGTACCAGCGAAGGAGGCTCACCAATCTTACTCGGCGGATCACCTCTACAACAGATCTCCGGTAAGAACAGGTATTATATTTTAGGACAAACATTAAGTTTTTTTTTTGTCCTAAACGAAATGAAAAAATAATGTCCAAAAAATTATTTAAATATTACTTATGACCTCATAAATAAATTAAACACAGTTTTAAAAAAATTTCTAGACATGTGTTCATAGAAAATTATGAGTTATCCTTAAAGATTACTATACAATAAAAAAATGAATCAATAATATAGTGACATATCATAAAGAAACTCATGATAGATTGATGTAAATTCACGATTTGATTTTAAGATTTCAATGATTTAAGATAAATCACGATTTAAAAAATAGATAGAAAATTAAAAAAATAGAAATAAAGGAAAAAAGGAAAAAGGTTAAAGATATATAACTCTTATTTATGATTTTATGTTAACATTTAAGGAAGTTCACAATAAGAAAGTATATAAAATAATTCAATAATATATCATATTTTTCTTTAAATTTAATATTATCAATTTATTTTCTTAAAATTATGAAGAAATCTTTTGTTCACTAGTAAAATATTAAACCAATTATCAATTAATTGTTAATTTATTTTCTCTCATATATTTTTTTTTATATAATTTAATTATATAATTTTTATTTTTATATATGTAGACTAAATGATATATTTTTTTTTTATGCCCTTTATATATTGAAATCTTGAGTGATTGTCTCATGAGCCCGTGCTAAGAGCATCCAAATGATGACAACCTGAAGTCTAAAACAAAGGTAGACACTGAGTTTGTGCTATTTACAAGCCCAGAAATGGATCCAACAACAAGGAAAATATTTTGTTGGAACCTGTTTCGTCCTAAAAAAATTGAAAGAATCGGTCGTATACATGAATAAACAAATTAACCATTTAGCTAAGTTTGAAAAATCTCAAACTAGTTTATCTACTCGTTCAATTCCATTCTACACTACAACAAATGTTACATATATTGACATACAAAAAGTGTCACTATAAGTACAATATATGTAGGTATATGTCTATTTGACATATAATTACACACAATTTTAGTGTTAATTTTGAATGAAATTACATATTTTGTATGTCACTATAGTCTATATTCACACCTTTTAATAATATGCCAACATATATTGTAGTTATTAATTATGTGGATAAAAATAATTTTTAGTGACAGTGTAGTATTACTATAAAGTGTGTGTCATGACAATTTTATTGTAGTGTTACCGGTAGATTTTTAAACTTTTTTTTTTTAATAGACCACATGTATGAGAAACAATTTGGTTTGATCCAAGTAGAATTATTATAACCAGATTTTATTCTCAAATATTTTAACACAATTAAATACTCGCGGCACGAAAAGTATTCCAGCCGTGTTTATGATAGAACAAAATTAAAATTTTAATTCGTCGTGTCTTACAAATTCAATTTCTAAGATTCAAAACTATATTTTGTTTACTCGCCAAACGTAGAATATGATTGAATTTATGTTTTTATAAATTAAATAAAGGTAGGACTAACAAATATCATTAAAGACATTAGACATTCTAACAATATTTACATTTCTAGGTCTAATAATCATTTACCATGAATTCATTAAGGAGAAAAGGATACAAATGTGGGGGAATTAGATCAAAACCAAAGAAAAAATTAAACAAAATGGAAAAAGGGCAAATCATTAGGATGACAAAAAAAAAAATAGTTCCCAGCAAAATTTAGGGAGACAACCCGACCCAAATAAAAGACTCTTTATATGACAAATCAAAAGAAGTTAACCTATCAACACAAACATTCCCTTCCTAGAAAATACATGAAGCATAAAACTATATTTTAAAAATAATGGTTAAAGCATGACACCAACTATTTCGTAGATCCAAGTAACAATATTTTCATTAGATAATGCCAAAATCACCAATCAAGAATCACATTAAAGTCAAAAGTTGCCCATTCAGAATTGTATGCTACAAAAATTGCCATCATATATAGTTGCAATGAGTTTTGCATGAAGCATAGTCCAAATACCCACATAGAAGGAGAAACCACCAATGAAGGCACCTTGATTATCACAAAAGATGCCCCTACTAGCCGAATGACTAGGATGACTAAGAAATACATCATCAATATTAGATTTCATAGATCCTAATGACGGAGGATGCTAATCAACTTGAATAATGCAACTATCCTTAAGTATCCTAATAGAACAACCTATGTTACATAAGATGATTCTATCTGACCAATCCCTAGAGAAACCTCGAGAAGTTGAACTTGAGATAGAAGAAGAAATTACCAAAGAAATGACATGATGAGAGATAGGAATTACTCTACTCCAAAAATGAAGACTATTATGATAAAATCATTAGTACAAAAATGACTTTTAAAATCGGGGTTTTAAAATCGGTCATAAGGCAGCCGATTTTAAAAGTGACGCGGTGACAATTTTGTAAATAATGGCATTACTTTTAAAATCGGTTACCTTATGACCGATTTTAAAAGTCTCTGATGCTACTTTTAAAATCGGCTCTTCAATAGCCGATTTTAAAAGTGCTACTTTTAAAATCGGTCATAAGGTAGCCGATTTTAAAAGTAATGCCATTATTTACAAAATTGTCACCGCATTACTTTTAAAATCGGCTACCTTATGACCGATTTTAAAAGTAGCACTTTTAAAATCGGCTATTGAAGAGCCGATTTTAAAAGTAGCATCAGAGACTTAATCTACACTCTACAGTCATTCTCCCTTCCCCTCCATTCTCTCATCTTTGGCTCCATATATTCTTTAGATTAAGTCTACGAATATATTCTTCTCTTTACTCCGTTGAGCTCTCATCTAAAGTGTCCAACTTCATAT